TTTAGGAAATGTGTATTAAAACCTGTACTCTCTTCCTGAGCAACATATACCACGTCGCAACCTCGTCCCCAGGCCAGTGTCTCTCGGCTCGCTCTCTTTTTTCAAAATGCACGAGCGCCCGCCATTTTGCGAGTAGGGAAGTCCCATGGGACGAGGTTGACCACGTCAAAGGTTTTGAAAAGTGCTCCAGAGCATTTCATACCCAAAACCCCTAATTAACTTTGGTAAAAACAAACATCAGTTCACATAAATACAATTAACAATCCTATGTCTGATGTGTTTATTATTATTCACGATGTAAAAGTTGTATTTTTCTCAGAAACCCAATTCACTATGAGCTGGCCCAGAGTTTAAACTAAAGAAAAGCATTCATACATCCCATCATTGAACATATTGATGAAATACTAAAACATGAATTCAGCCAAAGTCAATATCTAAAGTTACATATAGCAGTATTCAAAATTATCATATAAAAATAGGCAGAGGCAGACAAAAGACTTCAATGTTCAAAAGGTAATTTCAAGTTTTGAAGAGACGCCAGCAGAGAAAACATAGGCCAGCGGTAAAACCAGCRCCAATGATGATTTGGGATCCCTGTGGTATTTCCATAGCCCACTCAGTGTCTACACCAGATTGGTTCAATTGACCAGCATCGTCTTGTTCTGTTCTTATGTCCAGTGTATCGTTATCCAATAGATGTTTCTCTACCTGGTCATACATGGTGCCGCAAGGAGGTAGTGCCATCCTCCTTTCCAGGAATCCAGTTTCAATATACTCCTTTGCAGCATGGACAAGAGCAACACCCCATGGGGTGACATCAACAGCAGGTTTGTCAGCATTTGGATCTTTGTAGAGTATCCTTATCTTTCCATATCTTAGTGATTTAATTGACAAACGCTCAGCAATGGATGCCAACAACTTGCCCCAGTAWTTGAGATYGWGTTCATCAACACGGTTCTCGTGGTCAGCAGCATCACCCATTGAGTCATGTGAGGYGATGCTASTAYRGCTGCTGGAGCTTAARAGGTCTGCAAGTCGGTCAGCGGTTTCACTGACGAGTGTACAGGTTGAACTGCATAGAGTAAGCTCATCGTCACTTGAAGAAAGGTCAATGTCATTGACTTCAATTGAAATGACAGGATCACRATGCAGGGATGAAATGAAGTCACTAATATCATCTTTGTCRCCATGGACACTAAGGCCATCATGTTTTGATGAACTGTTGCTCTTGTAATCTTCTCTATTTGGTAGGWCAACRGCRGAATTATTGTCATGGAAACTGGCAACACTGCCTTTTGATGAAGTGTTGATCTTACCAACTTCCTTATCTGACACTTTATCTTGTCTGTCATTGTTGCCATGGACACCTGTGACCACGCCTTTGAATGAAGTGTTGCTCTTACCAACTTCCATATCTGTTATGTCATCTTGTCTGTCATTGTTGTCATGGACACTGGTGACCACGCCTTTGAATGAAGTGTTGCTCTTACCAACTTCCATATCTGTTATGTCATCTTGTCTGTCATTGTTGCCATGGACACCTGTGACCACGCCTTTGAATGAAGTGTTGCTCTTACCAACTTCCATATCTGTTATGTCATCTTGTGCATCATTGTTACCATGGACACCTGTGACAAGACTTTTTGATGAAGTGCTGCTCTTACCAACATCCATATCTGTTATGTCATCTTGTGTGTCATTGTTGTGGTGGGCACTTGTGACCAGACTTGATGAAGTGTTGATCATATCAACTTCTTTACCTGTCAAGCCATCTTGGTTGTTATTGTTATCATCACTGTTGACACCAGCAATTGATGAGCTGCTTATTTTATAATCTTCAGCTGCTACGTCATCTTGKCTGTCATTGTTGYCATGGACACCAGATGGAGCATTTGATGTAGATTGCAYATCATTCTCTGATGCRATRCATCCAMCTTTGATGTCATCTTTGTCTTTTGGRGTGACTTGAGCTTCACTGAGAGACACARCATTTGTGTGATCACTGTTGTTATGGATACCATCAGTATGGCTGCTATCAGCGCCATCACCACCAATGCTTGTTTGCACCGTTGAGCGGGCTGCATTGTCACTGCAGACTTCATGGATATCTTGCCTTTCTGTACGTCCATCAGCAGCAGCTGACACCTGATAAAATAATGTATCAATTGTGTCATAATAAGATGAAAAATAGTAATATACATAAATAAAAAGGATGAATAAGAAGAATTTCAGTAAAAAAAGGTCATCATCAGGTTTAGGTTTCAAATTTTTCTTCAAATTTTTAATTATATAATTGAGAATATACAGCCTTTTGCAAAAATTATGAGAATTGTCTAAATATCTAAATATCATAATATCCATATCCACATATTGTCCGGAACACGAGGGTTTATTAGAATAATTCATTGTTTACATCGAGAAAATGTTCAGAACTACGGATAAGTCTGTCGCCAAAAAAACTAAACAATAAAGACAAGGGACTAAGGCCATCGCGCGGGATCATGCACTTGATATTATGATATTTAGATATTTCAACAATTCTCATAATTTTTGCAAAAGGCTGTAAATGATAATAATTTGATTATATAGCAATAACTATGACGATAATGCAATTTATAATACTTATTTAAAATCATTATAATTGTCAGAAGGAAAAAATGACTCATATAGGTAACCATTGTTTTAACTTATCTTCTCATAATATTATGAAGAAACAAAAAACAAGAGACTAATCTCTAAATGATGATAATA